GTGCTTTAACCCGTTGCGCCACCAGGGAGGTCCCGATGTCGTTTTTTTTTAGAGTGTGGGCATACTTGGGTTCACTCTGGGAAAGGTTTCACCAGAGCTCCCCTTTCACCTAAACGTAGCGAGATTCTCCACATCAGACTCAGTTATATTTAAAGAGTAAGTTTATTGCAAAGAGACAGGAGAGGAAGACACTTGCATAGGCACAAGCGGGCAGAAAGAGCTGCACTTTTGGGGGGGGAGGGAGAGGGGGTAGCATTTGGTTTTATTATCTCCCTTAGGTAGGGAGGGGCTCATCCTTGCTAAGAGTCATTTGCTGATTTAAGTATCTGGGGAACTTGAGAGGACTGGAGATTCCCCAGTGACCTTCATGTCCATGTCCTTATCTTTTACCTTTTTGGGTCTGAGCTTCAGACACAGCCCCCAATAGTCTGTTATCTACTGGGACCTCTCCTCCACATCCTGGCATCCAGGCTTTGGCGCTTGAGGACCTTGATTTTGTGGCCGTGTCAAGGATCTTGATTTTTCATGGCTGTGTTAATTGCTACACTAGCCCCTGCTACTCAGCCCCCTTGTATGACTCCATCTTGTGATGTCTCCCTCCCCCTGGCCAACCCTCCCCCCCGCCCTTCCTCCTGTAGTGCAGGTCCCTTTGCAGAAGACTTAAGGTCATTCATTTTGGTGGTTGGACACATTCAGGTTGAGCCCTCTTTTATGCGATGATGTTGTTCATCTTAGGTTCAGCTATTTTTTTTTTTTTTTTTTAAGATTTATATATTTAAGCATGCAAGAGTTGGGTGTAGGCCAGATGTGCAGGAGGGTGAGAGGACTCACCAGAGACAGAGTGGGGAGTAGAACAAGCAGACTAAGCAGACCGACTGAAATACACTGCAGAGGGGAGCAGCAGGTGAGACAGGAGAGGTCTGCTGTGCCATGGGGGTCAGCTCCCTGGCCTGGAACTGAACTCCTGTTGCAGTGGCCCTTGATAGCTTCATGGTGCTGAGACTTATCCCCTTGTGCCACGAGGGAGGCCCCTGTTTTTAACAAAACTGAACACTTTAAATAAGAGCCCCTGTTTTTAACAAAATTGAATACTTTAAATAAGAGCCATTTAATTTAAACAGAGCTAGAACTTTGGAAGGACTTCCTTCTGGTATGATTTTCAAACTCAGCTTCTTTATCAGGTATTTTCTCCCCTACTATTATTCCTCAGTATACTGGATAAATGAAAAGATGCTCAAGTTCATGAACAGAGTAAAAATTCAAAATCTAATTTACTGGTGCCATTTTTCATTGACTGAATTAGCAGAATCCCAAATAGTTGCTACAATTCTACTGGTGAGATTTTGGGACTGATGAGAAAGTAAATTGATGTAATCACTCTGGAGGGACTTTGCCATTGTCTCCCAAGCATTTTTACATGGAAAATAGCAAGACACAGAAGAAAACATGTTATCCTGGGTTTGTGTACATATTTGTATTTTCCTGAATAAAGAGATTAGTAAAAGGGAGGGAGGAGAGGGGGTCAGCCAAAGCTTGGTAGATGGCAATAAGAATGTAAATAAAACTCCCTTCTATCTATTTTTCTTTTTTCATTAGATTTTTTTTAAGTTGTGATAATTTTAGATTTATAAATATATAGTTATAAAAAAAATAATACAAGGCCTCCCTGGTGGCACAAGGGGTTATGTCTTAGCAGTATGAATCTCTCCACAGCTAATGCAGCATGAGTTCGATCCCTGGTCAGGAAGGTGACCCACATGGTACAGCAGACCTCTCCTGTCTTGCTTGCTGCTCCCCTCAGCAGTAGATTTCAGTAGACCTGCCTGTTCTGTTCCCCACTCTCTCTCTGATAAATCATCTCACCCCCACACCTCTGGCCTGTTATACAGTTCTTGTATGTATAAATAAATCTTAAAAAAAAATAATAGAGAAATCCCACGCATCCTTTGTCCAGTTTCATCCAAATGGGGATACCTTGCAAACCTGGCATATCTTTTTGTATGTGTTTACATATTAGTCATATCCGTGGGCTTCCTGTCAGAAAATTAAATTAAAAACAGGATGTATCATTCACCAAATTCATCAGGTTGAGTCTCATAGTGCAGTGTCTGTTTTCTAAAACCATTAATGCAAGGACACCGAGACCAAATGCAGCATCAAAGTCCACCTCATTGGATTACTTTAGATTTTTCTGTGGCCATATTCTAGAGCACCATCATATTTAATTTGCTGAACGGTTACAGTTTCTTGTATTTTCTCTG